AATCTTGTAGAAAATCGAGATTTATAATTGATTTAGGAAACCATAATAGCGAATATAAGGTCGTGACGAATAACATGAAAGGCAAATCAAAACATATAAAAAACTAACGAATCCATAACACCAAATAAAAGGTTGTGTTGAATATATTAGAAAGGTATCTAAAACATTATCAGAAACAGAACATATAAAGGATATTCAAGAATCGGCAGAGGGAAAGATCAAGTGCTTGACGCAGTTCCAAACATGCGCAGGATTCGCTAATGCCTTTGCCCTGAGAAGAATCCTAAACAACACACGCAAAGCATGCGAAGAGGACCATTTACTCGCTTCATAAAATCCAGCAATAAACTCATCATCGTCTTCGGATACCAATCCTATAGCGTAGCAAGCATCTTTGAATGTTGAATATTGAACACCGTTGACGGTCCTAAGATCAGAAAAACAAAACGCTCCTCTTCTCACCTTCAACAAAAGTCTTAAGTAATAAAGTTCACCAGATGACAATGGACAACACTGCAAGAGAAAGACTTGCGAAGTTTGAGATAAATGGCGCCTCCATTTTGTTTGTTTACGATCCCAAACCCATTCCAAAGGGAATTGAGGATACGTCAATTCCCTTGCTTCAGGATGAAGACAATTACATTCCATCCAAGCTTCCAGTTTATTCTTCTTGCCCAAACTAGACGTTCCTCATCATCTGAGAACGATTGCGATGGTGGAGGGAGGTGCACAGGTAGGAATGGAACCCCTAATCAATGTTAATAATATACATATCAAATATAAACGATTAAACGTTTTAACCAATTAAAATATGAAAGCTTAAGATAGGTGCTGATAAATAACAAATACCAGTCGAAGACATATTCCAAGAAAATTATATACGATGAAACACTGACTAAGAGTATCCTGAAAAGCACAGAGTCAAAAGATCAGCAAGTACAATATGGCAAATAAAAAAAAATTACATACAAAAATTTTATTATAAGAATCAACCAACAAAGAAATACAAGAAACACTAAAAGAAGTACATATAAAGAAAAATACATTAAATTATAGCTAAAAAGATCATAATAGAAACGATTAGGTTAAGAGATAAGTAAGTATACCTACAAGAGTTCTGAACGTGTATAAGCAGAATACAAAAAAACAATAGTGATCGGACAAAAAGCAACATAGTGTTAGTTTTAAGCTAGCTACTGTAAACCAATAAGGGTTATACGAAACAACATAAAAAGATCGTATAAATACACTTACACGAAACCGATACGATGAATGAAAAGGATGAATGTGTGATTGGGTACACAATTTCAATATCCTCTCAAGCGGATGAACCTACAATATGAAACCAACAAAACCAAAAGAAAAACGAAAAGCAAACATAAAAAAAAGTAAGTATGATTTGGCGCATGGATGATTCCTACATAGGGTTAGGTTTTAAAAAAATTTTGAAATCAAAAAGCAAAACGAAATAATACAAAACATGTGGCTAACAGAACTTACACGAGATAATTGAAGAGGAAGAATCAAATAGCACTTCAATATCCTTCTCAAAAGATCAGCGTGCGCTCTTAGATTCAGTATCGTCCTCAAAAGATCTGCCTACAATAGAAAGCAACAACAACATCAAAATTAATCCAAAGAAAAAAGCAAGCAATATATAAACGCAAATCAAAACGCCGCAGAACACAAACAAATCAAAGAAAATATTGCATATGAGAAAGTTTAACCTAGGGTTTTTCTAAAACGATATGAAAGAATGAACGTATGAGACTTATTTATATAGGTGTTAGGGTTTAGGTCGGTAGTATTTCGTTTAGGTCACGTAAAATATGGGCCGTGAATATTTGTATGGGCTTACGATATTGATTTGCTCGAGTTTGTTTAAAAAAATTTGGTTAATATATTCAAAATTAATTATTCTCATTAAGGGGCAAGCGGTAATTAACCACGCTGAAATTCAATGAGAGGCTTCCATTGCTTATTCTGAACCCGATTTTAATATATATGATCACGGTTGATATGCATCCTCATTCAAATTTTTTTTTAGAAAATAATTTCATATTCATTCATAACAAATCTAAAACTGAATATAAAAATAATTTTTAATAAAAAAAAACAAAAATAGGGCTGGCGCAGTGCAAGACCAGCATCTAGTTAAACCGTAATACTAATTTTTATCAAATTAAAATAAAATATAATACATAAATCTTCCAATATCATATTATGTAATATTATATCAAACATGTTTTAGTGTCGTACAATCTTGTCGATTTTATGTAACCCGTAAACAGCTTCATACGAATGTAGAACAAATCATAAACCGGTAAATCCCAAACCCGTTCAATTCAAGTAAACAAACCAACTGAAATTTACGAAAATTGTACGAAACCCAAATATCGAGCCTACAGAACCAGAGAAATAATAAATGGCCCTAAAGCATCTCAAACGTCACCGAACAACGCCGAAAAAGTTTAGGCCTTATAAACACTCTAATATCTCGGCGTCAAATTCACTCCATCGCCACCGTTGAAACCGCCTCGTAGGGCGTCTTGTCCGTTACCAAACAACTCCTCATCCGCAGGATTCTGTCGCTTCCGAATCTCGGGGTACGCTCGTTCTAGTGAGTTTTTCGGTATTTATGTGTTTTTCGCTCAGATACCGATGTTATCTGTTCTTATTGGTTTTGCGTTTTGGTTATATTTCACAAGATCTTGACTCAAGGCCTTTTGTTTCCTCTCTGTTGCATCATTCTTATACTGTTTTGTTCTGTAAGTTTTTCGATCAAACTTTTGTAGCGTTTGGTGTCTTTCATGCTAGGGTTTTAGCTTTCTACTTTCTGTTCTGTTTGAAGTTCCTTTGAATCCTGCAAAGTTTGAGATAATGCTGTTGGCGAGAACCGCGGTATTTTTTATTTTGTCCTTAAAGCTATGTGGTTTATCATCGCATTAAGATGGGATAGGTTCGGGTGGGATGGTGGTTAGGGCAAAAAGGGTGGGTTGAAGTGTATCCTGAATTTTTGTTTTTGACTCAATCAGCAGATTGGGAGATTTAATGCAGATGGAGTGCATTATCGGTCTAGAGACAGCCCGTACGTTGTGAACAAAATAAATAAGGCAATTACCAAAGAAAACAAGGAGAAGCGGCATAGAAAAGCTATGAAAGGAAAAGCTTGGAAGGGTGTGACATGCCCCGTATGTCTTGAGATCCCGCACCACTCGGTGGTCCTTCTTTGTACATCTCACCACAAAGGGTGCCGTCCTTACATGTGTGCCACGGGAATCCGGTTCTCCAATTGTCTAGAGCAGTACAAAAAAGCGTATGCAAAGGATGAGAAAAGCGATAAACCACCAGAGCTGTTGTGTCCGCTTTGTAGGGGTCAGGTGAAAGGTTGGACTATTGTGGAAGATGCACGAAAGTATCTGAATTCTAAGAAAAGGGCATGCATGAAAGAAAATTGTTCATTTTTCGGAAGTTATAGACAGCTCAAAATACATGTTAAGGCGGTTCACCCGAGAGCCAAACCTAGAGCCATAGACCTAGGTTTGGCTCTCGGAGGAGAAGTGGAAGAAGCTTGAAGTTGAGAGGGAAATGAGTTATGTAATTAGCACAATCATGTCGTCAACACCCGGGGATGGATGGTTGGAGATTATGTGATCGAGCCGTACAACAATGTACATGGCCCTCGGTTTCATCCTCGGCTTGGCTATCGTCGTTGGAGGCGTTTATGACATTTAGCTTTTTTACTTTCTGTTTTTTTTTTTTTTCCTTGTTCATTAGGAATATACGGTCACAAAAAGTCATTAGAAGAAATTGGAGTAAATGCTATGAAAAATGTGGCAGAAAGTCATGAGCTTGAAAAAAGTTTATGATTTCATTTATAAGAGTGATTAAATTCATTTGACTTGTTATTTTCTAAGAGAGGGACTAGATCAAAAGCATATTGTGCATAGAGCTGAAAGTCCAGATGAAGTCTAAAGAGAATTATAAGGCCATCTCCATGTGAGTATTATAGCAATTGTTTTATTATTATTTTTTTTTCGGAACAGTGAAGAACTTGAATTAAAAAGTTACCTCCATCTCTGAACTCGTAATTCGAGGTTCATACGATTAAAATAATATTTTTTTTTTCTATTTAAATTTTTTTTTTTCGATTTAATTATGAAAATATTTTTAAAACAAACTTACATTGTAAAACAAGTTATATTACATAGGTTTAGAATTTAAATTACAAATTATTCAAATTATGTTTTAAAAACATATAAAATACAAATACAGGAAGTAAACGTTTAATCAAAAAACATTTCTGTTCCAAATTTAAGCCATATGTGTTCAACCAAATCAGCCTTCAATCGGTCATGAATTTTTTTTGTCACGAACTTCGTTTCGAATGCCGATCATATTGCTAATATTTGTGGACATATAAGTTGAATATGTCATATCGACTTCTGACGTTCTGCTTCCATCTCCCTGTTGAAATTCTGATAGATTGTATTGGGTGTCGAATGGTCGTTCGTTTTCAACTATCATATTGTGTAATATGATACATGCCCGCATGATCTTTCCTATTTTTTCATTATCCCAAATAAGAGCTGGATTTTTAACAATGGCGAATCTGGCTTGTAAGACTCCGAAAGCCCGTTCGACATCTTTTCGTACACCTTTTTGGCATCTCGCAAATGTCTTGTCCTTTTCAGATTGTGGAAGTGGAATTGATTTGACAAATGTTGCCCAATTTGGATAAATTCCGTCGGTTAGGTAATATGCCATCTTGTACTGGTGTCCGTTGACATAGTATCTGACTTTAGGAGCTCAGCCTTGTAATATGTCATCAAAAACAGGCGAACGGTCAAGAACATTGGTATCATTTAAAGTACCTGGAGGTCCAAAAAAGCATGTCAAAACCACAGATCGTGTGATGCTACAGCTTCTAACACAATTGTTGGTTTCCCTGAGCCCCGTGTATATTGCCCGTTCCAAGCTGTTGGACAATTTTTCCATTCCTAGTGCATGCAATCAATACTTCCTACGATACCGGGAAACCCCCGGTCCTCCCCAACATCTAGCAGCTTCTTCAGATCTTCTGGTGTGGGTCTTCTAAGGTATTCATCCCCGAACAGAGATATTATTCCTTCGGTGAATTTTTCCAAGCATTTGATTGCCGTACTTTCACGAAGACGAAGGTATTCATCAACTGCGTCAGCCACACTTCCATACGCCAAAATACGGATTGCTGCCGTACATTTTTGTAATCCAGATAGGCTAAGCCTTCCAACAGCTTCTCTCCTTTGCTGAAAATATGGCACTTCATTTGATAGTCATTTCACAATATTAATGTGCATGAACAATGGCTTGTTCATTCTAAACCGACAGCGAAATATATGGGAAGGATATGTAGCGTTCTCAGCGAAGTAGTCGTTCCATAATTGGGCGTGCCCTTGTTCTCGTTGTCTTTCAATATATGCCCTCTTCTTCTTCTTTGGTTTAGACCCGGCTTGTCGCTCAAGTAAAGCGTTGAAGGCGCTGTCAAATTTTTGATCAAACATGTCATCAAACATTTCATCAAAACTCTCATCAAGACCATCATTGACACCATCATAAGGATTATATAGACCATCATTGCCACCATCATAAGGATTATAATGAGGATTATTAGAAGAAGAAGCCATAAAACTATATAAGAGAGAGTTTGGGTTTAGAAAAAAGCGAATGAGGGAAGTTTGAGCAGAGGTTTGTTGGTTTAGAAAAAAGCGAATGAGGGGTTTTATAACAAAAGTTTGGGCGGAGGTTTTTATAACAAACGTCGAGTGATAATAATGTTATGACCAAATGCAGTTTCTATATATACATGTACATGGTGTTTATAATCATTTACAGAAAGTTGTGGATACAAAACATCACTAAAAATACAAGGCTGTCGAGCCCTCGTACTATATGGTTTACAAGATTTTGTGGACACAAAACTTCTCTCAAAATATATGGCTTAGAGAACACTAGCACCAACTCATAAAGGACCCATATTCCAGCAACTTGCGCCTGACTTGTCACCACAACCTGTAGGCCAATAGTAAACAAAATAGACATAGGACCCATTTTTCTTAGTAACATATATAAGAGACAGCCATCAAGACATAAACATAACCGATTCATATATAAGAGACAGCCATCAAGACATGAAGATAACCGATTAATCTTAATGACCTAAAACAGCCATTAAGACATATAAACTTACTAGTTCAGCGTACAGAAAACATAAACATGAAAACAAAGACGTACAGAAAACATAAAACACTAAGACAAGAATTCTTTAATGAGTGATTCCCTTAAGAGTTTTTTCACCCTCTGATAGTCTATCTCCCCTTGCGAGTAAGTGCTCAAGCATTCTCTGCCTGGAGAGCATCTTTTTGTGTGCTATGTCCTGTTGTTTTATTTCCCACATGTTGGTGAAGTCTATCATTTCCTCTTCAACTCCCCGAACAGCCTTTTTACCTTTGGCTTTCTTGGCAGACTTCACACCAGGGGGCCGTACCTCTGCTGTCTCCTCTCCTTGACAACCAGGTTGATCGGAATCTGGCTTAGATGAGTCAACATCTCCTTTTTTCCGTTTTTTGTGATCAGCATCTTTTACAGCCGAGGATGAGCTCCACTTTTGGTCATGCCTCAGTTCCCTCCAGGCATGCTCAAGGCCATACTTAAACCCGTGATCATTGAGGAAGATTTGATGAGCATTCTTCATCACGTCGTTTTTGTTTTGGCCACTGCTTTGCTCTTTCAATGCTGCTTCATAGCTCCCTACAAACTTACATGTTTGATCATTGATTCGGCCCCAACACTTCTTAAAGTGACTTTGAGTTCTGTTTTGATAGTTAGCTAAGAGTGGACTCGAGTTGAATAAGTTTGCTATGCGGCTCCAAAAGGCTCCTGCTCTTTGGTCATTACCAACGACAGGATCTTTGCTGGTGTTTAACCAAGAAGAGATCAGAAAAACGTCTTCAGTTGGATGCCACTTCCTCCTTGATGTCCGATCCTCACTCTGCTGTGTGCTAAACGTTGGAACTTGTGAGGATGCAAGATCTACAGTCGGTGCGAATGACAAAGATATTTCCTCTTGGCTGTTTAGGAGGTTTAAAAAACTCTGGGAGTTACCATATGGGTTCGGTGAATCCATAGGATGGTAAGAGAAGAAAGCTTTTTAGAAAGTACATGGTATGAACGGGCAAGAGAAGGTTTAAAAAGTATGAATGGAGTATGAACGGGTAAGAAAAGGGTGTGGCACAGAAAAGGGGTATGAACGGCTAAGATAAGGGTTTCAAAGTGTAAGAGACAAGGGTTTCATCAATGTCTATATTATATAAGGATTACTCATTCTTGATTTTTAGGTTAGAGTTTTTGTTTTCGTGTGTAAGTGTTATTTAAGTTTTGTTACTTTTGCAATGAATGAAGACAGACGCATTAACTCGTCAATTAAACAGATGTGAGCTTTGACAAGATTGGCTTTAACTTTCGACCTAACAACTATTTACCCTAATCTAAACCAGCAATATTGACAAGAAAGACCATTACTAACCACCTTACTAGTTTAAAAGCAATAACTACAAACCGACCTTGTTTAAACGCATGACCGCATTCTCGTTAGACTCCAACTATTACGTTCCTTAGCCCATTTACTTTCATCAAAGACACCTCGCACAACAAACCAAGTCATCAGTAACCGAATACAACAAGAACAAAATATTAAACGAAGCAAAGAAAAAGTGTAATTACCTTTGTGTGCTTGCCTGCCTCATACGCCAAACCTGTCAGGGTCATACACAGAAATACGAAAGCAAAACCAAAGATATATACAAAGCAATAACCAAACAAAGGAAATAGATAGATGACATAAGTTTAGTGTCTTAAAGAGGTCAACAAGGGCTTAAACAAGTAGCCAACAACATACAAAACATAGCCAACAACAGCCAACAGCAGTCAACAGCCGCCTTAACATGTAGCCGGTCAAAGCAGTTAAGACAACATGAAGGAGATTGCCGCTATGACACAAAAAAAAACAAAGTAGCAGATAGTTATCACCTTGGTTAGCCATCTCCTGTTTCAGGGTTGATAGTTCACCCTGCAGCACCCTTAGTTCCTCACGTATTTCACCTTGGCTAGCCATCTCTTGCTTCAGGGTTGATACTTCACCGTGCATCACCCTTAGCTCCTTATGTGTTTTTGCTTGGTTAGCCTTCTCGCTCAAGTAAAGGTTGGAAACTTCGCCCTCAAGCTCCATTAGCTCCTCCCTTAGTCCTCCAATGCTCTGTACCGGAAGTCTTTGCAGCCCAAACATGTCCTCCTTTTGCTCTCGAATCCTCATTCCCAATATACCGATCTCCTCTTCCACAGCCTCTTCCCACCACTTAAAGATATGCTCCGGTGTCTTCCACTGCACAAATGACTTAAGCTAAAATCAACCTTTTATATAACTTCCAAAAAATTGACTAGCAAATGTAACCGATTAACTTACGTCATCTATCCACTCAGGAGACACATAGAATTTGCGTCCATTACTGTCCGTCTCTGCATCTTTGGACACACATTTAACCTTCAGCTGTTTTCCGCAAAAACATTTCTCCGGTATGCCGTAGTTGGCATCACCGTAGGCCCACCGCAGGTCTTCAATGGGTTCATCATCAGAGGAAGGGTCGCTGTAGCTTATAGGCTTGATCTGCAATGAACAACAGCAAGCAAACTTAACGATGATGCACAAAAAAGAAGGTAAAAACAATGATCCAGAGTCTAAACGCAACCAAAATTCATCAAATGCATACAAGGAATATATGTAGAAAACACCTCAAATCAAGCGATTCGAAAACCCACAAATGATCCCATTTACGAAACCCTCATCTGCTTTGTATCACTGAATTCGATATGTTACAACACAACTAGATAATCAATAAACTTCTTCAAACGCATAAGTAATTACATGAAAAACCCCTCAAATCAATCGATTAAAAAACCCCCAAATTTTGTCAATTACGAAACCTTAATCTGATTTATATCACCGAATTCGATATGTTACAAGCCGTTAACAACTGTTAATGAACACAATTCAATCAACCACAGACTCAGATGCTTTGACAAAACCCGTTAAATCCCAAAACCCAAAGAACTATAAATTTTTCCAGAAACCCAAAACCCTAATTCTATCGAAATCAACGAAAACAAACATGAAACACCAAGCGAGGATACCCTCGCGTACCTTGGTAACCAACCGGAGATGTTGCTCGGGATTATCGGCTCCGGTTACGGCGATTTGCTTCGAGGAATTTCCAGTCGCCGATTTCGTCGCCGATTTCGTCGCCTACGGTGATGAGAGGAAAAGTCGAGATCGGTTTTGTCCTTGGTCGAAAAATGACCCCAAAAAATTTTATCTCCATTAAACCCACGCACCAATCATAACACGCCATGTACTCGATGATACTCGATTGATACGAGATCATCAGTATCACTGCAGTCATACGGTATCACTGGAAATGGGCCGTTTTTAATTAGTTTTAACACAAAAAAATTGCACGGGCCCACTTATGAACCCGCTATGAACCCGCGATGGAGATGCCCTAAGGAATCACTACTCAACCTCGATAAAACCAAAAATTCATTCAAATTGGTGAGCTAAGGCACTGAACGTAAAGATTTTCAAATTTTAAAACCATTCATGGTGGATCAGGCAGAGTGAACAGAGACGTTAAAAATGATCTTGAAGTGTAAAACAAGGACAATTGCAAGTAGCAAGGGACAACTCTTTCTTCTGAGCTCCACACTTCTCTCAACTCCAACTCAACTTTAGACTCAAACACGTTATTTCTTTGTTCTTGTTCTTGTAAATACCTCTTGAGAATCAAAATACTATATCCAATTCACTCCGCAAAAACCTTGTCCAAATTGCTTAGGAATCCTACTCGTTCTCATGGAGCAACAGAACGTTCAATAGTCTCTCGGTTCTTCTTTAAGTGTTTTAATTGGTTTTGCGCCTTTAGAGATAGTTTTTTTTATGGGGCAATTATATTTATAGGACAAAAAAACTGTAGTATTGTCCTCTTAATACTTTTTCAAATTTGACCACTTTTGGACAAAAATACCATTTATTTATAATTACGAATATTTTAAAAAATATTTTTATAATCTAAATTTTTTTGAAAAATTTTGAAAAGGGAAGACAAAGACATTTCATAACATATTTTTGCCAAAAAAAAATTTAAAACAATTTTTGACAAATGTTCTATGAATTAGTAGAAAACACATTCTATAAATCTATAAATTTATAGAATAGACTATATACTATTTCATTAGTTTTCTACTAAATATATAAAATTAGTTATCTACAGTTTTTCTATGTTCTACAAAGTTATGAAACCGTATTCTACAACCTTTTCATTGTTCTACAGTTTAGTAGAATTATCTTTCTATAATTATCTCTTTGTTCTACATCTTATTAGAATTACATTTCTACGGAAACGCTTTGTTCTATAATTATAGAACATTTATTCTACAATTCGGTTAACAGAATCTCCGAGAATCTAGGATCAGATCTAGAGAATCTAGGATCAGATCTAGAGAATCTAGGATCAGATCTAGAGAATCTAGGATCAGATCTAGAGAATATATTTCTTTATTTTTCGAATTATTTAATTTCTTAATTATTTTTTAAAATTTTTATTTCTTTCCTAATCAGATCTAGAGAATATATTTCTTTCCTTTTCGAATCTATTTCTTTCTTTTTTCAAATAAATTTGATATCATAAATTTTAATTAATATGGGTTAATTCGAATTAGAAGGATAGAAGAAGTTAAATTATTAGTAGAAGTATTAGAGGGACAAAATTTACTACATAAATAGTAAAGGGACAATAATTATGTTTATTTGTCTTATATTTTTAATTCTTTCTTTTTTTATTTGTAATTTTTACACAACAAGAATAACAACATATTCAACAGCCATTGTTTTTGGAGAATCATCGCAATTAAGGTACTCCGACAACTTTCCAACAACTGCGTATCAATCTGAATCAGAGTCTCGCAATATAGGTTGCCTCGGAAAGTTAGCTAGGAAACTGTTCAGAAAAACTCGTCAAAACAGAATCTGGAAAACTTCTCGGAAATTGGCTACGAATTCTAAGGACTTCACACCAGCCACGATCAGATTTACCGGAAATGCATCAAAATTTTACCGAGAACTTTAATTTTTTGTTTCTAAACTAAAATAATGGTATTACATCGAATCTCAAAATCTTGTTTTGGGTGCATCGAATCTCAAACTTCTTGCTTTGGGTGTCATCAAATCTCAAAATAATTATACAGACATGAGTGTATGTACTTTTTCTTCACAAAACAAAAGTCAAAGCTCTTGGTTAAGCTGCATCGCCGTGAGAGAAAGGATCACTGCACCACTGCTGCACCTCAAGTTGCTTGATATATTCATATTTTTGCATGTTTAGGATGCAATTTTGGTCTAAGAATTGAATCCCATTCATACATTTAAGAAAAATTCTTCATGTTTTATCTTTGTTTTAGAGTTTTAGTATTTTGCATTAGGTTCAAGTGAGTCTTGCATGTTTGGAGTGTCTATTAGGTACTTTGGAAGTCATTTGGAGTGGAAAATGGTGGAACCTGGTGAAAAAATGGTGAAAGGAGCAAAAATGACGAAAATGAGTTTTGGAGGTTTGTAGGCTAAAAACCTTATTGCAGGAAGGTTTTTCTTGGCTAAAACTGTTTACCGGGTAGCTTCTGTCGACCAAAACCTGTACCACCGTACGTGAGCATCGGCCAAAAACTCCTGATCGCCGAAATGTTCCAAAAATGACCAGAGACGAAGCCTTTCCAAGCCGATTCAGCTTCAAGTGTCTTTATCAAAATTTGAGAGCGTTGAGTCTAGTTTCCAGAACATTTTGAATCACATGATTTGGAGCAGTAAGATGAAAGTTATTGCAATTGAAAGAAGGAGATGTCTCGGAGCCATTTCCAGATCATTACAGTGCACCTCAAAGATCGGCTGTCCGGGAAACCTTGCTCTCCCTGCATGCAGTTGGGTTATTCACCAAAGTTTTAACTGGTTGAGTGATCTTTCCTGTCGACATTGTTTCAAGTCATTTGGAGCTGTGAGCTAAAAGCTACCGGGAGAAGAAGACAAGC